AATACCCTGTAAAGTATTTTCCATCCTGATATTACAGAGATGATTTTTACCTTCCTTTTTTTTTTTTAAATAAAATCCTTATTTTAGGAACCTGACTGATTTTTCCATTGTTCCAAGATCCAGGGGTTTGGGTCTTTGATGATTTTGTAACAAATTGGTTAGGATATTATTCTCAAGCCTCCCCAGAAAAGGGGTGTGTAGGGTTTGGGGGGATATTTTGGGGAAAGACATCTCCAAGTGGTCTGTTTCCCTGTTCTTTGTTTAAAATGCTTGGTGGTGGCAGCATACTGTTCAAGGACAAGGAAACGTTTGTACCTTGGGGAAGCTTTTAATCTAAGCTGGTAAGAATAAGCTTAGGGGGTCTTTCATGCGGGTCCCCACATCTGTACCCTAGAGTTCAGAGTGGGGAAGGAACCCTGACAAGGGCACAAACCCGTATTTTGTTTCCCTTGCAGGTTCGCTTTAGCCTTCCAGCTGAATGATCCTCAGAAGGGAGTTTAGCTCCTGATCCGTCATGAAGGCTGGCATACTGAACAGTCTGGTGCTACTTAAAAGTGACTTGCAAAGAGTGTGGAAATTGTTTCGTGGCTTTTTTGCTGCTTCATGATGTATAAATGAAACCTGACAGATTATTATGATTATTTTTAATCTTAGCAATGTCAGGCATGTCAAGTTTTGCCTTCCCTGTTTTTCTTCTCGAGTCCTCCAAGAGGGCCTTCAGCCCTCCTGTGAAGGTGGAGGGAAAATACTGTTGTTAAAGATTCAGCTCCCAACAGATTGGCCAATGTTTTGCGTTTGCTGTAACAAAAAGCAAAAGGAAAAATAGAGCTTTAAATGGTCTGACAAAAATACCTTCCTCCCCCTATAGCTTCGATTTCAGCATCTTGTGATGTCACCTGCCACTAGCTCTCCAGACAGCCGTAGAGTCCTCCAGCAGAAACAGGGTAGAACAGACCATATGTTTCTAGTGTTAAAAACAAGCAGGAAAAACGGCTGCTTCTTTTTAGGGGGTAGCAGCTTTCTGCATACACCTTAGAGGAACAACAAGGAATGCATAGATGTTTCTTACCCTTTACATGTCTCTCTTTATGGGCACATTCTTCCAGTGGGAAAAGGGACTTGGTGTGCTCGGCAAGTGCTTCCGATGGCCTCATTTGTTTATACAGAATTTAAACTTTCATTTACAAACTGATTCAGTTCTTAGCTCTTTTTTCTTTGTAGCAAAGAAAACATTCTGGCCCTGACCTGTTGTGCAGCTGTCTTGCTGAGTCTGCAGAATCACAACCTGAAACAATAGCTTGGCAAGGTGTGAACTGCCTCTGTTCCTCTTAAGAGGATGTTGATTCAGAAGCCTAATGATGACATTTTAATTGCTAGCCTTATTATCTGTTTCATTTCTGGTTATTTTAGCAAAGCTATCTTGCTGCCCACCATGTTTTTTCCAAACCGATCCTTGGAGGGGGTTATTTTCCATGACACACTGGTGTGCCCATCAGTGGGGTTCAGTTGTTGAAAGGGAGCTATGTGGTCAAAACTTTTCAAATGAAGTATTTAGAAAAAAAACCAAAAACCACGCACACACAACCATAGCACTCCCTTGGGGCCATCGTAATCTTTGAAACTAACACTTTAATCGCATTGTCTATTACGGGGTGGCCAAACTTACTGGCCCTCCAAGCCACATACGACAATCTTCAGAAGTTCGAGAACCGGGACAAATCTGCCGGGAGCTGGGGGTTGGAGCTTCAGCCCCACTCCTGCTGAAGCCCTGAGCCCTGGCAAGTGCGTCCTACAGGGCCGAAGCCCTGAGACGACACCCCCTCCCCGCTGGGCAGAAGCCTCTACCGCACCACCCTGCTGCAAGGCAGAGGTCTTGAGCTTCCCCCCCCCAGTCTGGTAGGTGGAGAATGGGGTCCGTGGGGGACTTCGTGAGCTAAACCCTAATGGTAAAAGAGCCACATGTGGCTCGCGACCCAGTTTGACCACCCCGCTCTATTAGAATGGGCAGATCCTGCCTACCCTGGGCAGGAGCAGGTATTCAGTGGGACTATACAATACTATAGTTTAGTATATCCCTTTTCTCTGTTCTCTGAAGATCCTCTCTCTGTCCTACCTCACTGCCTCGATCTTATAGCACCTTAGGCTTTCTCTACACACATTTGCTCTAGTTTATTGACACTCTTATTTTGGCTTAAAATGGGGCTTATTTCAGTTTAGTTTCCATCAGTTAAGAATAGACTTAAGCTAAACAGAAATAAGCCTAGTTTAAACTGATAGTGTCCACATACCTTTTGCAGCCCTTTAACTGTATCAGTTTAAAATACTTGCACCTTGAGTTAAGCCAGTGAAACTTTGTATATAGAAGATGAGCCCTTCAACTGATTGGTACAGCCACTGCCTGTCCAGCCCAGGGGGACTGGACGCATTCCTTTGGGAATGCGTCAGTCGGCACTGCTCTTCACTAGGCCACATCTGAGATACCCCATTATCTTCCCCTCCTAACATCCTGAATGAAAGTGACTTACATGTTGTAGAGCAGCATTCTGACTTGTTGCAATTTGGAGGAAATGGCAATTTAGCTGCCACAGGCAGAGAGGGGTGAGCAGTTGGTGTTTTAATGGTTGCTTGAAGGGTCAGTCCCTCTGAGTATTTAAAAGATGGGTTATTCCTTAAGGGTTTTTATTCCCTATTTCCAGTGTGCAGAAGTTTATCTCACACACTGAAAAAAAGTGTATTAGCCCTAGAAACAGGAGAGAGGCTTGTGGCCAGGGTAATTTCTGGACTGAGAGTTAGGATTTAAGATATCTACTGTATTTAACTCTTGCCCCACCCTGCCAAAATCTGTAGAGGCTTTAAGGTGACTGGCAAACACAAAGTGTGGGTTTGTGCTCTCTCTCTCTGCTTTATGATTTATAAAAAAGGCCTCCTGGGTTTTTTTTTCCCCCTCTCCCTGGGTTTTCATGTAAGACATATAGGTCTTGTCTACCCTGGAAGAATATCTGGATGAGTCGTGAATATTAGGATAATTGAGATTACAAGTACCAAGTAAGTGATACCTGAGCAACTGAGAGGGGGGAGTGACTTTTTAGTGAAAAGATTAGGGTTTAAAATGTAATGGTTTTGTTTATCACTTATTTAACTCAAACACTCTGTGGGGCAAAACAGCTCTCTTAAAGGATTTAATACCTCTTCAGTTCAGTGCTGGGAGAGCTCTCAATCCATATGTGAGTCACTTGTGGAGACCCCAAGTACAAATGGGGAAGAGCAGACCTGACATTCCTGTTATTTCAATGAAGCTAAAATGGGCATAAACCCAATTTCTGTCTTTCTAGGTCACGCGGATAGAATGATGATCTAGAGAGATGCTGCAAATTGATTAAGCTACTCTGAAATAAGTACTGCTTTCCCCCGGGCATTTGAAAATGGAGACTGGCGAAGACTGTAATTGTTCGAGGGGGATTTGTAGTGGATTTTCCCCAAGTGCTGCACTTATGATGCATTTTGAAATTACGTCAAGGGTGCCCTAGAACATAAATCTAAGGGCTTGTCTTCATGTACTGGTACAGCTGTGCCACTGTAGCGCTTTAGTGAAGATGCTACTGTGCTGACGAGAGAGCCACTGTAGCGCTGTCTACACGTGGGGTTAGGTCAGTATAACTGTTACTCAGGGGTATGGATTTTTCACACCGCTGAGTGATGTAGTTATTCTGATATAGGTCTGTAGTGTAGATCTGGCTTAAGTAAAGAAATAGAGACATCTGAAGACATATGGGCCTTGATCAGTGGATCTCAAACTTTTGTACTGGTGACCCCTTTCACAGAGCAAGCCTCTGAGTGCGACCCCCCCCTTATAAATTAAAAAATACTTTTTTGTATATTTAACACCATTATAAATGCTGGAGGCAAAGTGGGGTTTGGGGTGGAGGCTGAGAGCTCACAACCCCCCGTGTAATAACCTCGCAGCCCCTTGAGGGATCCCAACCTCCAGTTTGAGAACTCCTGGCCTTGATGGATTCACTTGCTCCCCTGGAGATATCAGAAGGTTCCTGGATGATTAAAAGTTTGTAAGAGAAGAGGGTGATGTATGATTGAATTGTGATGATGTGGTAAGATTTTTCTGCAGTTTCCTACAAAATTATCCTTGACTGGGTTACGCTTTGAGTGATCTATTACAAAAGAAACAGGGAAGGTCATTGGAAAAATATGAGCAGAATGAACAGGCAAAAGGAGCTAGAAGTCGTAACAGGTGGAAGTTAGTCTCTCCCTCCCTCAATTTAGCTTTCTGTGAAATGGATATAATGCTTCACAGAGGAGACTTGCTGTATGTTTGAAGTTTCTTGAGAAAGGTGAGTGTGTGTTGTATAGATTTGTCCTTACTCGGGTACTTGCCTTGTTTAATTTTTCATGTCAAGGCCTTGTCTGCGCCTTGCTTAGCAGCTACATGGAAGACACATGGTTCAGAGACAGGCGGTAGAAGAGCAAGCAAAAATTACATCCCAGTTCTGGGCATCTCCAAGTCACTCTTCCCCTTCTCTACTGCAATGGGAGTCTGGAATCCCAGTCCTTAGTGCTAGACTCTGCTAAGGGGATGAAATTCCACTAGAACGGAATGTGATGCCATGAATTCTCCGCTGGCAGAGTCTGAGCTGTTTAATTACTGCTGCATTTCAGTGCCGTTTGCCCCAATAGCCAGTAACCCTGGTTAACGGTGACCCTAAAAAATACTCTGTTCCTGGGGGCTGGAGTACCAGGGAATAGATAGCTCTTGTGCGTGCTGTGTCTTGTTTTTCAGAATAGCTATGTGCTTCTATTGGAGGGGAAATAGTGTTTCTTACCCCTTGCCAATCACTGTGAAATACTGCTCAAGGGGCAAGAAATACTGTATAAACTTGTGTATAAACCACCCTCTTAATCTCTTTATCTAAAGCTTTGCTAAATGAGTGCCCTATAGGTAAACTGATACCCATCCCCTTTCCCTCTCCCTGTCGCTTCCCACTAAGGAGCCCTACCCCAGCATGAGGTGCTCAGCAGATCATTCCCAGTGACCCTGTAGTCCGGACTGCAGCAAGGGAAAGATCCTGGTGGGGGAGAAGTTTCCAGATGGATTCCCATATCAAGTGCATCCCTCACCCACGTAGAAAAGCTGTCTTGAAATACTGGTAGGAATGTGTCTGATCTACACAAGGCTATATGGTAGTGCTTGGTCCCCAAGTTTAATACTGTTGTTATCACACAGTCTCCGTCTAGCCCCAAGGCAAGTCCCAGCTCTTGCCCTCCAACAAAGTGCTATCTATAATCTACGTGGCTACCCAGTGGTGATTAGTGCTGCCAGTGTGCTTGACACCAGCCTGAGACCTTTTCAGAGCCATACTCGGTGTGTGCTGTGTAAGGGAAAATGTTTTATATTTCTGAATTAAAACACTGTGCTAGAAGCATGGATGAGCTGTGGACAGCTGTGTCCCAGCAGCAGGCTCCAAATGGGAGTGTGGTGTAAACCTATCCTTTAGGAATGGATACCCAACATGGCTTCTTGTCCATTGCTCTCCTGCTGAAAAGCTGGCACTGCATGACCTGAACTGAACTTTGTAGTGAAAAGAGAAAGTGTAGGCTCCAACTGTGATGAGTTTATAATCTTCTGAGGAATGTCTTGACCCTGAGAGCTCTGGTTCCTCACTGGCACATGCACGGTCTCTGTGAGGAGTGTTGCTCTAGATAGCATGTTCCATTGCTGGGGGCTTTCTTAGTCATGAAAACATCCAGAAAAGAAGCCGTTCCCAGTAAGTACAAAATAAAGCACCCAGGACTTTCTGGATCCTGATCTTCCACGCAGGCTTCTTCCCTATTGATTCACACAGGGAGGGGGCAACCGCTGGCCTGAATGGAGATTTGTGCAGATACAAAGTTCTTTTGCATATATACATAGACACACCCAGAAAGGGGTGGGGGGGAATCCTTCTGCTCATTTGAAAAAGTGTGTGTGTTTCCCCGTAGACAACTTCATCTGACTAACATGACTTTCAACCTGCATAATTTAGACAAGAATTTTGTCATTTTCTTGACTCAATCAGGGCATCTGATTTGCCCAGCTCTAGGCAGAAGAAAGGTAAAACTATTTGGAAACTAAAGATGATCCTTTTCCTAAGCCTCTCTTAGAAGCTGACTAGGCACTTCTAGGAAACTAATATTTAATTTCCTTCAATGCTTTATGGGTTTTTTCTTCCGGTTCTTGCCCCCTAGGTGTTGCTTTTTTAACATAAGACAAAGCTTTGATTCTAACCCTAATGAAGTGTGGATCCAGAGTTCAGGGCCTATGTTTTTCAGATGTGCGTCCTCTACCCCTGATCCCACAATGATGCTGCTGATCTTTTTTGTAGAGCAGCTTCCATCCTGAATAATCCCAAAGCGTTTAGGAAATATATGCAGGAATTGCATCAGTGACCTACAGCTGTTGTTTAACTCTCTCCAGCCTTTTTAAGTACGACGGGAAGAAGGATAATGTATCCAATTGAAACAGCAGGAGAATATAGGGAGGTGGAATGTAGTTACTTAAAATCAAATTTAGACACTTGGGTTAATATTTTCCCTTTCATGAAAAATGCCGCAGTGGATAGGTCTACTGTTATGCATCCCCTCTGCAAGCTCAGCTCTTCCAGCATAGCACCTTGAACACTGAGCTGGGTTAGTTTTAGCACTGGCTCCAAGGGCCGAGGGTCACTGAATCAGCAGCAGTGCTGCCTGCAGCACCATGGGTTCCCCATGAGTCCTGACCCCAGCTTGAGCTGCTTAGCTTGGGAGAGATGAGGACAAGATCACAGCCCAGGGTGTTAGGGTTGGAGCGAGTGTCTGTCGATGAGCTGGCTTAGGATCCCACAAAAATGACACTTGTGGAAAAATCTGGTTCCTGTCGGTAACCCTAAAGCTCTCCCTCTCTGCCTGCATTGAGCTGTACTGGGGTGTGTGGATGCCTCTGTACTTCCAGGGGTGATGAGTTTGTATGTATTGTAATTCTTTTCCTTGTAGACCAGCTGTAAGCGATGTCCAGTGACCCTCCCCCACCCTACCCAGGGGGACCTTCTGCACCGCTAATAGAAGAGAAGAATGGCCCACCCACCATGTCGGGTAAGTTGCAGAGGATGGGGCATCCCATCGACATTGCGATCCAGTCCCAATGGCAATGGGAGTAGGGCAGATGCAGGGGAAACCCCGGGGCAGGTGGTCTCCTTACAGTCTCACACTGCTGGGTGCGGTGCACTGGGGTTGACGCAGAGCTGCTATAGCAGTGAAGTCAGCACGTTGCTCCACTTCGATTTCAGACCCTTTACTCCCTAACCGGGAGACAAGGAGAGGTCTGTGGCGCAGCTATGCAGCGGGTAGCTTGGAGAAGCTGTAATAAAACCATCCCAGGGTCTCCCGACCCCCAAGGGGTCTGGTCACCCAGCCAAGTGACTCTTTGTGCAGGCCAGACTCTAGCCCAGCATGGCAGGGCCTGCCTCTCTCTCCTGAACCTTCCAGCTGTTGGCCAGTTGAGCAGTGTATTTCTCGTCCTTGCCTTGCTGGCCCAAGGAGTGACAGACTTGGTCGAAGCAGGTTGACTCCTCTCTGTAGAGGAGCCCCTGCCTCTGGCCCCATGCAGACCACTCTCACCGGGGCCCTTGACCAAATCTCGCTTCCTCTCCTGTGCTTTTGCTCCATGAGCCAGCTGCTGCCTGAGTTGATCACCCTCCTGCTGCCTGTCCCTTGTCTCTCTGGGCTTCCAAGTAACTGCTCTTCTGAGGGTTCTGACCCCAACTTTGGGTGTTTTTCCACCCTCTGCCTCTCAGCTGGTATCTCTCAGGGATCCATCCTTGACTCCTCCTCCTCCTGCCCTGGATGATCTCACCAGCTCTTGTGGCTCCCTGTACCCCCCTCACAAATCTGCCTCTTGTTTTCAGTCCAGTCTTGCTTCTCTGCCTGTCTCTCCACTGTCCCATCTTGAATGGCTCGCTGCCACCTTAGACCCAGCGTGGCTAAAACAAAGTCCCTGAGCTCTCCCACTGGGCCGTCTCCCCTTCTGCTTCTCTCAGTACCAGCTGCTCCCCTCCTTGGGGGTGCCTGGATCCTCCCTTTTTCTCCCCTCACACCCATGTCCTGCCCAAAATCCTGCCACCGCTGCATGGTGCTGTATAACTGAGTATGCAGCATGGTTCCTTGGGGTTTGTGAAACGTTTCTGTAGCCACAGGACCCCTCACAAGCTGAAGAAGACAGAGAATTGTTCATTATATATTTCTTTTCCACTGCTCTCCTTGCCACTTGAGGTTTGGTGGGCCCCAAATGGGTCCCATTGTTCCTGCTGAAAAGGTACCAAGATGTGCTTCCTCAGACACCTGTCTCAGATCCATCTGGCTGTGCATTTGCCTGTACCCTTTGTCTGGTAGGAGGGCATTAATCCCAGCATGCCAGGAGCCCTTTACTTTAAAGGGATAGTGATTGGCTGCTCGCAAGTCTCCCAGAATTCCTTTTTGAAGATGCTCGGCCCCAGGATCACTGGAGTCAGGGTGGCTGCTCAGCATTCTTTGTACCTCCCAAAAAATCAGAATAACGGCTAGTAGCAAGCGGGTGGGATTTCTTAGCTCCTTAATGCAATGATATGAATCGGCTTTGGGGGCGGGATTTTACTGCACTTTGAGTATCGGCCCATGCCCTGGCACTGCCCCTGTGTTGAGCGAGGGGGAGAGCTGTGCTTCCCAGTAACTCTGCAGCTTGGTTTGAGCAGCAAGTACCTGACTATATTGGGGCATGGATCAGGTGCTCTCCAGGGCCTAAGGAGGCCCTTGAGACACCCAGCACTGGTATGTCTCTGCAGGCATGGCTGACGCAATGTAGCACACAGCACGTTAGTCTGAGGCAGGGTGGCTATGGCAGGTCTAAAATCCTAGTTCTCTCAGAACAAAAGGAGCCAAGCTGCTGGTGGAGGCCTGCTGTGCACCCCTGGGGTGGATGCATATATACTGGAACTCCATGGACCCCAGTTCACATCCATCTCGGATGTGGAGATCCCAAACGAGGACTGGGACTGAAACCTGCCTGTCTGGCATAGCTGCAGCCAGAGGGGAGATGCAGGCGAGTTGGACGTCAGTTGTTAGAGTGTACTGGCAGGCCAGTTCAGCTCCCAAATGGTCCTGCCCATCCCCCTCTCATCGTGGCTGCTCCCCCAGCTGGCCAGACTGAATGACTGTAGTTCATAACTCTCTTCCCGAAGAGTCCATAGTGCTCTGTAAGAGAACTCACATCAGCCATGGCTCAGATGGTTCCCAGCCCCCCAACAGAGCAGGGAGTAAGGCACAGAGCTATAGACGTTGGCTGGAACTGCAGGAGGCTGTTAGGCCAGTGCCCAAGCAAAATACAGCTGGTCTCCAGCTAATGCCTCTTCCAGAGTTTGGGCCTTTAATCCCGGTGCTCAGGGATCTGCTCTAGGCACCTTTTGCCTGTGTGCGGGGGCTTCCAGTACTGGCTGGGAGGGAGGAGCGCCCCCTGCTGAAGTATGGTCACTGCAGATGAGTTGCTCCCTGAACACGGTGGGTGTTAAAGTCCCTGAGTTGGGAAGGAGAGATGTTGGGGTCTCTTTGGCAGAGCTTGCTTGGCTGAGAGACACTTCCTGATTCCCTCTAGCACAGCACAGGGTTTCCAGTTTTGCTGGATTCTTCCCATTGGCAGTGCCTGGTTGTGGGTGTGGCCCTCATTGCAACATTAAGTTGATCTCCACCGGGTTGGTCTCTGCCAGGCCCCCCTTAATGTTGCACTCTATATGCTGGGGGCCTGGCTGCCACTGCAGCCTGGCTTAGAACGCCTCGGCTCAGCTGTGCTTTGCCACTTGCTGCCTCTCCCCTCCATTCTCCCCAGTGACCTCCTTCCAGTCCAGCTAATCCTTTATGCCTTCCACCTTTCCTTTCAGACAGAGTCTCCACTGCTGGAGTCCAGCCTTATGGGATGCCTGTGCCCCCTTCAGATTTTGGGCCACCCCCATACGAGCCACCCCTGCAGCCAGGCTACATCCCCCCTCCCGTTTCTGCAGATGGCTCTGTGCCCTACATGCCCCATGGTGAGTATTGGAGGGGATGGGTAATGCGGAGAATGGCTTTCAGCGGGAGCTCCGACGAATGTGTGCTCCTTCCAGACACTTTGTCTTGGTGCAGTGAAAGGAGTCCAGAAATCTGACTGGACTATTGCCTGCTCTCCACAGCAGCCTGGGCTTCTCGCCATGCCAGCTGTCCTGCTAGGGAATACACAGTCGCTGCTCTCTGTGGCATAGCAGGATAGGATCTGGTGTCACGTGACCCAGTGTCAGTTATTGTCAGGACCAGGCAGGCAAACACAGTGGCTGCTGTGTACTCTCAGGAGCTCCCAGAGCTTAAGTGCTGGGTTCTGTGCTGTGGGCAGAGGAGATGTTCATTAGGGGTCTGGCGTTCTCCTAGAGCCAAGGTAGGAGCCTCAGCTCCCGGGCCCCTGCAGCCTACCTTTCTGGAGAGGTGTTGGTGGTAATCTGCGACTGACTCTGCCTGGTTCCTCTCTCCACAGTGCCCACTCTCCACAGAGCCATGTGCTGGGTTAGCAGTTACAGGGCTGCAGTGTCCTCAGTTGCACTCGCTGGGGTACAATGTGCCTACGACTCGTACAGTACCAGCTCAGTGGGGCCCCGATCCTGGCTGGCCCTAGGCATTACCCATAATCAATGTACTAACTGTCATTGCTGAGCCCACAGAGCTAGCCAGCTGGGGAGCACTGAGCAGCTGGATGCTAACGTAGTCCCACTGCTCAGAAACGTGGAATAGGGATCGCTTGTTAATGTGCTAAGGCCTCTCACTGTACGCGTGTTTATCACTGGCAGGTTATTATCCACCCCCAGGACCTCACCCTCCCATGGGCTATTACCCGGCTGCAGGACATTACCCCTCTCCTGGTGGCCACACAGCAACTGTCATTGTACCATCGGGGGCTGCAACCACGGTCACTGTGCTGCAAGGGGAAATATTCCAGGGCAGCCCCGTGCAGACGGTGTGTCCTCACTGCCAGCAGGCCATCACCACCGCGATCACACATGAGATAGGTCTCATGAACTTCCTCCTCGGCTTCTTCTGCTGCTTCGTCGGGTATGTGCCGGGAGGACGAGGAACTTTGCTGTTCTCCGGTGCCTTCCATTCGGGTCACTGACTGATTGGGGAGGGATGAGCTAAAGGAGCAAGCAGTGGACTTGCCCAAGCAGCACTGACTTCTCCTCTCTGTTAACTGGCTACTCGTCCAGCTGGCTTTATCCCCTACAGAGCCCCCCACAGGACTGGGCCTTGAAGCCCCTCTCGCCTGCTGCTGGCAGAAGAGGAAATTGGGCCAGGAGGTAGTGAGGCGCATGCGGGTCCCAAGCTGCAGTGTGTGTGTGATAGTCCATGTGTGGCTCTGCACCGGCCCTTTGCCTTGCCTGGTGACCCTGTGCCTGTCCCTTCCATCTTAGCTGGGCTTGAGGCCAGTTGCTGGTGGGCTCTAGCCACTCCCTAGTACAGCTCTGGTGCTAGCAGGAAGCTGCCCCCACTGCACTCACCATGGTGTTAGGAGAGCTCCTTTCGTGGGGAGCGTCTCTCTGCAGAGCGACGGGACTGGTTTTTTAGCCGGAAGGAGAATTTCCGGCTGGGCGTCCCTATGCTCCCAATTGTGAGCGTCCTTCCAGCAGTGAATGATGTTAAATCAGGTGTTTTGCTGTGTTCTTTAAATATGGACCCTTAAAAGGCTTTGCTCTTCTCAGCCTGCTGGGAGGGGGGCGTCTGTACCGGGCTCCAAAGGGATGTTAGGACTTACTAGGGAAGCCCCCAGAGTTCAGTGGGAGCAGGTTTCATTGGGTGTCTGGGGTGGCAGCAGTGTGTGTGTGTGTAGTTAGTCGGCCAGGCTGTGAGGGGTAGAGTGGAGGCCCCAACAGAGCTTGCCGTGCCCTGCCCCTGCTCACTTGGCTTTGATCTCTCCCTCTTTTTCCAGATGTGATCTGGGCTGCTGCTTCATTCCATGTCTAATAGACGACTTCAAGGATGTGACCCACACTTGTCCCAACTGCAAAGCCTACATCTACACGTACAAGCGCATGTGCTAACAGCACCCCTGGGAGCCACACCTGCTGGAATGACGTCAGTCCCTCCTCCACGCCGATCTACACGTGCCGAATGCTCCTTTGCTTAGCCCTTCGTTGGTAGTGTGTGTTTATTTCCCCTTCCATTTTAAAAGAGCTTCGAATGCTGTAGTAGAGCGATGGTACTCACACACTGACAAGGAAGCTGTAGGCCCACACCGCAAACAGCTAGAGCTGGTGTATAGATGTGAGCTCTGACAGGTAGCTGGGCTAGGCTATGAGATTGAATAGCTGCACCACTCACCTTGCCGTTCCAGCCGTCCCGTCTCGTCTCATCCTTACAGCTGTTTGCAGAGGGCTTAGAACTAGGATTGCAAATGAGGCATCAGACTGCACAGAAGACTTTTTTCCTTTCCGGATTATGTTTGCCCGTCAGAGCCACCTCTGTTGGTTTGTCCTACCTCACTTTCCTGCATCCCCCCCATCAGTCACTGTTGGTAGCCACTGTTAAAGGAGACAGTGATGTAAGGCAGACATCCTTCAACAGACAGCATGCAGGGACTGCCATTCCAATGGGCTCTTGCCCAGTTAGTGATAGACTGAGCCATTGCAATAGGGGGGCGCTTTCCTTCCATTCCATGATGGCAGCTCGCTTATTTCTCTAGAAGCTGTGAATACGTCTACTCCCACAGGACTGTGGGGTGCTGGGGTACTCCTGTGCTCACCAGCTCGGTCTCTTTTTAAGGCAGACAGATCCTGTAGTTGTTTAGTTGAGTGTTGCAGTTCTCTACAAACCACAAATTCAAAGCAAGCACATCCGTCCATCCCCAGGAAATGCAGTGCTTCTGACTGTTTTTCTTTGGATACCTACACTCACTCAGTTTCTCTGCTTTGTCTGTAGGCTAGCAGCAAGGGGGTGCATGTTGCTGGACAAAGATGGGCTGTTGTCCTTGGACTACGTAGTGTGAAAGGGAAGGTTTATTTTAGGGCCAGTGTTTGTTTAGTTCTGTATGTTGTGCTTTTACATCTGGCTGTGCCATGCAGCTGAGTAAAGCTAATGTTTGTTTCCTGCCTTGGAGCCCAGCCAGCTCTGCCTTGCACTGAAGGAGACGGGGAAGCAGCAGCTCTGTTTAGTTTGCAGGTGGCCAGGGCATGTTTTCAGGGGTGCGGTTCTGTTTCTTTTGAAGTGCTTTGGGATCTTAGAGCTTCAGGTGTCAGTCCCTAGGTCTGGCTCTTCCATGGGTGTAATGGCTCCTGTAGCCCCAGGGTGATCACACACAGCAGCCCAGAGGCCGTGGGTTACAGAAGGCATCTGCCACCATTTGAGGCACAGATGAAGAGACAGGCCTTTATTTGCAGTGTGGGTGCAGGCATTAACCCACCAATTCTGTATGGAAATTGGCAGCTACTAGAAATCCCCATCCTCAGTTGTCTTGAGAAACTTTCCTTACAAAGCCAGGGAGGGGGAATGGAGCAGTAGCTCCTGCTGTGAGTCTGCCGGAATCATGAAGCCACTTTTACTCTTCGGGTGCTGCAGACCCTACCATATGCCAAGGGATGTGAAAGCTCAGCCTGTGGGAGGCAGTGAGGGTTGGTTCTCTCTGGAACTCAGCATTAAGTAGCAGTTTTTTCCCTGCTCCCCCACCCACCCCACCCCCAAATCTAGTGAACAATGAGCATGAGAAGAGAGCTAGAAGAATGGGCCTTATCTTGTTCCCATTCGTTCAGTGGAATTCAGGTGCTTCAGGCCCTCTGTGCTCCAAGCTCTCCCATGGACTAGCTGGAGCTGTCTGTCTAGTGTGAAATAATAGAAACCATGTGTGCATCTGCCTTTCCTTTGCCTTGACTTTCTAATAAGCTTTCACCTGGGCCTCAGTGGTGTAGCCATTAGCCTTTGTCACCAGAGACCTGGGTTCACATCAGTAGCCAATCACAAGTGCAATGGGCTTGGTGACCTCACTGAATATCTTATCCAAATCCATCAGCCAGTCAGGAGTCTCCAGTCAAGAGCACTCTCCCCTGTCAGAGTAAGAGGTGGGGAAGCCTGAGGAGTCCCCACACTCATCTGCCTTCATCACCCTCAGCTCTAGCCGCTGTGGTCAGCCTCCCTCCTGCCCCCTACTGAAAGACCTGTCTATTGAACCCACACAGTGCAGTGAAAGGGAAGGTGGCTGACTCTAGCCATTTCTGGCTATGACAGTATTATGCTGCTCTCTTCCTAGGCATGTAGGTTTGCAGCATATGCCTTGTTCTTATTTTGTTCTGTTCACATTTGTTTAATGTCTATGTTTGGGGGATAGAAAAACTGGTGAATCTCTCTCAATGCACTTTTTCACTGTGCTACCTAGGGCCCAATGTTTCATTACTCCCCACTAATATGGCAGTGCATCCAAGTGGGTAGATAACTCAGTGCAGCACTGTAGGGGAGCTTGTTTTTATTTTAATTTAACTATATTATTTAAATGGCCACCAGGTTGTAACTAACTTACCAGAAATGTGAATCCTCTACCCTTCAAGCCCAGTCAGTTTTTGCATGAAAATGAAGAGTCACTGTCCAGAGGTCCATCACTAATGGGTATGGTATGAATTAGTCTATGCACAGGGTTCTGTTCTGGTTCCTTTTTTATACAAGGAAGAAGAAATGTACATTTTGGAGGGTTAAAATTAGCTGATGTTATTGGGATGCTGAGCCCAAGGCTATTCAGGGAGCCTTTGCTGAACCTCCATTTTTCAGTGGCTCTGTATTTCAGTTTATTCCAGCTGACGTAATCCTTTCTGGTTTGTGTCTCTTGAGTGCATGCTATCAAAACACAGTGAAGATCTGCTCTTTGTCTGTCACCCCCCTCATTAAACTAGGTCAGATGTATGCACGTGGGGGCTCTAGCCCTCCAGGTCATGAATGTGAAATGGTTGATTTTGTTCTTTAAGCTGATTGGTTAGAGAGAAACAGCCCAAAGCATGGCCCTGACTTTGTTTGATGTCAGGAGTGAATTATTCTGTACTTAAAAAGCAAACTGCTGGCGCTTTTACATAATATTTGTATATAAATAAAAGACAGAGCCTGATCTCACTGTACTGCTCTTCTTTAAGCTCTCTGAGATTTGGATGTCTCAAGGAAATGGTAGTGAGACAGTCTTTCCACACTGAGGTACGTGGCCCACAAAGCTGGCCCAGGGCAGCATTGCCCGGATCGTGGTTCAGCCCAGGTCTTGGCAGAAAGATTTCTATGGTTACAGCCAGCACAATGTGGCTCTTTTCTTGGTTGGAGACTAAGGACTGAAAATTCCTGTCTTGCCAGGTCATGCCTGAGGCACACTGGCATTGGGGAAGGTTGCAGTACAGTCTGGGGCTAAAACAACTTCCCTTTAAGGCATCAATAATAGTTGTATGTGCTAACTGGACCCCTTCCTGTACTGAAGTGGGAGGAAAAGTTAAAAACATGAAAAGGTCAAAGTGGCTTTCACCAGAACTCTGGGGGTGAGGGGGGAGAGGGTAGGAAACTTTCCAGGTGAGACTGGAGCCTATGCAAGGAGGCTGGAAAGGAGAACTTTTTCAATATCAGTTTTGAGGGATAAGATCAGGGATCATTAGGAGGGGTCATTTTAAAAACTGAACACTAACTCACTACCCTTTGCTTTTTGAGCTTCACTGATGCTTCCAACCCTCCCCTTCTCTAAGCTGGAGCAGCCTATGGGAAGAAAGTTTCCACCTGTGAGTGGAGTCCCCAATGTATACAAACTGCATTGATGAATGGTAATATACCCAGCCCTTCAATCTTCTGCCATGGTCCTGGGCAAATACCTCCAGCAGCAACTGAGCACTAGGAGGAACAAACAACAAAAAAAATACAAGCAGCTACTTTTGCCTCACCAGTAATTGTACAGGGCTGGGCCTGGAGGTGGGGGCTCCACAGCTGTTGGAGGGGAGATTTAAGCATCAGGGGGTACAGCTGCCACTCATGTCATTTAGGACAAATACAGAGGTTTGTGCTTAAATTGGGGTACACTGTTGCCCTCCTGTAGAGGTATGGCTACAGGTTACCCCCACACCTCTGCCTTGTTTTAAGGAGCTGATTAGCCTGGAGAATAAAAGTTAGCTCCCCTCAGGGAATCCAGCTATCAGCACTCCCAGCAAATGAGTGTGGCCCTTATAAAGAAGAGGCAGTTTCCACAAGGACTTGACTGGGTTGTGCAGCCACCCCTGCTGGCTGGATTTTGAAATGCAGGCAAGCAGCTTACAGCAAAGGCAGAAAGCATTAACCCACCTTCTCAGCCCCCTAGCTGCTTGCCTACAGCATACCATCTCCCAGCACACCCCACACACTAGGAGGCAAGGCTTTGTGCTGTTACTGATTAATAGTGCTTTGTCAGCAGGGGAGAGTACTGCTTCCCCTGGGCATAGGCTATCTGTGTTCTGCCCACCACTCTCTCCCCTCTCAACAGGGGTGGGAAGAGCTCCTCTGGAATCAGACTTCTGCCTCACAGCACTGACCTGGCTGTAGTGGGACACCACTCCTCCAAAGGCATTCAGGTTGCCCACTGTGGGCTTGGTGTAAAGGTACAGTGGTATACCCTTTCCAATAGCACAAACCCCTGCTGTGAAAGTCTAGGAGACCTGAGCCTGCTGTGGCCCATGGTTTCAGAAGATAATACATCAAGCAATCCCAGCTCTCTAACAAAGACAGAAAATTGCATATGAAAGCTACTGGGGAAAGAAAAAATTATATTCATCTGCATCCTGTGCAGCATGAGGAAAGCTTGGTTTCCTTAGTTAACCAGATACAATTCACATGCTAGAAGATCCCTCCAAAACCCTCCCCAGCCCTTGGACAGGGCTCCTGCAATAATATCTACAGTGCAATTCAATTCACTGTCACACACTAGAATCTGGTTTCCATGATGATTAGACAGTCTGAGGGGGAAGATCTGTTCCTTTGTGACAAAAGCGGCCCTCACTTTTGAGCAATCAAGTGTCTGTTGGACATAAGGAGCAGAAGGCAAACTACTTCCTTTGAGAGTCTCAGGTTAGGAAAGAATGTCACAAGGTTTTACATGCAGCTATGGTATAGGTAAGCAATTCCACCTGTTGAGGTTGCGCTAATAAACTGAATAATTTTGGAGGCAAAAACCAAAGCTAGTCTGTCCAGAGTGCCCAGAAGAATGCCAGTTGGAGATCCAGTTGAAAGGAGTGAGTGGAAAGTCAAGGTTTCACAACACTACACAGAGTAATTACCAGTGCCAAATTAAGCCTCCTAAATGAATTCCATGCTGTGAATACATGCTCCCTGTGCAACCTTGCATCCATCCCTGCAGAGATGAATTGACTGTAAAGGCCAGTTTGCAATGAAGTTCTCAGGGACTGGACCTCTCCTCTTCCACCTCTCTGCATGAAGAAAAACTCCCTTACGAAGACATCAGAGTATAAACTTTATTGGGTCAAAGGCTTTATCACAATTAAGTTACATGAAAAAGTTAACCATTAGCTTTAATATATACAAGGACTTGCTCCCCCAGGCCATGGGAAGTTATTTGCTCAGCAATTGCTACATGCCAGGGCAAAAAAAGGACCCTAATTTATAAAACTGGTTTTGAGCCTAGGGTCCTTGCAGCATGAGCAGCAAGTTATTCTGCCTTTGGGGCAACTGAGCTGTTTTTGGAGCAGTTTGAATTCCCCCCACCACCACCTTCTCCTTGGGAAGGACAAAGTGCAATTCCTGATTGAGCCAGCTCTGAATGCTCTGTCCCAGTGTCACAAACTATGTGCTTGATCAGCATGTGAGGAGCTATACTACATTGGAAGGGGCAAACACTATCAAACCCTAGCCTGCTCAGGGATATGAAGAGCTGATCATTTGACAATAGGTGGCTAAAGCCATCCCCTGATTTAAGACCCGCATCCGGTCACTACAGATTTTGGCTTCAAGTGGCAGTTGTGGAGCTAGACTACAATTCCTGCATTAAGTTACGAGCTCAGAACCCTGCTGGGTAATTATATAGATTGTGGTACCATGCAGTATTTGGATTATTGGTATACAAACAGTCCTAGGCATTCACTGCAGATTCTGGTTTATTGTTTACTTAAATCTTGCATTTAAAAACTCCAACAACAGAGGAGCAGTCCCAAAAAGTGTGTGTTCATCTGCTTGTGTCATCATGAGGTAACTCCATCTAGTATCCATCCATCACATCACATACCAGGCTGCAACACCTGCAGCCAAGGCAATGCAAGCTGCAAGGACAAACTGTATGGTGGGCTGCTTCAGCATGGCCATGGCAACGTGATAAGGGCAGCCAGAGTCCCCCTTGCCTGCAGGGAAGGGCAGAAAGCACTGTTAGCGATATTACATTAAACTGCATTTCTGGGGTACTTGTAATACAAGAAAACCTACCTAGTTTTGTGGCATAGTATGGGCACTTGCGCAGGTCTCCTTTTCCATCATGCACTGGGAGCCCTCCATCCTGGGCTTCTTCCGTTAACAATGCACCAATTTTGTCCAATTCATCAAATACCTGCCAGGGAAAATGAAGATTCAATGAGAGTCACCAAGAGCATACAGCACTTCACAGCCATTCTTGTAAATTTCACTTGAAGCTGAAGTGTCATCTCACATTTAGTCTCAGTTTCCAGATCAAATTAGCTCAGCTAACAAGAGCTGCTGGCCAAGGTCTTCAGAAGGGACTGGTAATTTGGGTGCCCAACTTGACATTTTAAAGGGGTCTGGGTCTTCAGAACATGCTGATCACCCATCTTCTCAAAAGTTGGACCCCCCCCCACAACCCACAGTCACTTTTGAAAGTCGTTGCTTCTTTTCCTAGCTGCCAGCCCTGCAAACTCAGTCTGAGGCTTGAGTGTTAAAACTGGGCACCTACCTTTAATACGTCAGCTGAATTAGGAATTTTGGTGAAGAACCAAACCAGTGAACTCGAGCTCAGGGGTTCTCAACCTTTTTGCTGAGGCCCTCTCAACATGCTATAAAAATTCCATGGCTCACCTGGACCACAACAACTGGTTTTCTGCATATAAAAGCCAAGGCCAGGGCTAGGGGGTAGCAAGCAGCACAACTGCCCGGGCCCCATGCCACAAGGGGCCCACAAAGCTAAGTTGCTCAGTCTTCAGATTCAGCCCTGGGTGGTGGGGCTCAGGGCCCCAGCCCCATGCAGTAGGGCTTCAGCTTTCTGCCCCGGGCCCCACCAAGTCTAACGCTGGCCCTGCTTGGTGGTGGCCCAGGCCCCTGGTTGAGAACCACTGCTCTAGCTCACTCCTCCAGGGCAGACTTACTCTGCAAGGCTAATGAGAATTAAATTCTCTCTTCTAGTTCTGATGCACTTGGCAAGCAGGGCCATTTTCAGTAAACTTTTCAGACTAGAACTAAACCCTTGAACAGAGTACTAGGGTTTATTTTTAGTTCAATATTTAGTAAATGAAGTGTGCAGCTCCAAGTACTCTGAGGCTAACAACATGACTTCTCTGTTGAAATGCTACTGTGCAGCTTGCTCCAGCAATGTTACTCATTAAACAGAACAGTTTCATGCAGCACTGTAAAACAGGATGAGCCCTTTACATGCTGGCACCTGAAACAGGTGTCTAGGTTGCAGGTGAATCTTGTGGTTTGTGTGGACTTTACATGACACAGCACTCCCGCCAGCAACAAAGGTAGCAGAACTTTCAGTGAGCCCTGTGAAACTGGAGGGACAGGGTGCTGGCCCTCTTGTACTGGAACGAGTGGATCCTTAAATCCTAGAGGTTGTGAAGAAATCCCATCCTCCATCCTTCCGTGACAGTCATGAAGGAGGGGAAATAACCCTAGATACATCAAGGAGGGATCACCAGCAAGAGGGCACATCCCACACGATCAGTCCACAGAGTTATTATATGGGGACCTTGGCTCTTCTTCCCCCCATTATGTTTACATACAGAGCAGTCCTAAAAAACAAAGATCTTGAAATGCCTACTGGGGACTATCTGTGCCTACAGGCCCCTGAAAAACAAACATCGGAGAAGTGCCAACATCTGACTGTCATAAATAGCACTAATTGTTCTCTAGTGCATCACATGAAATCCACAGTCTCTCCACTCCTGTTTACTCCCAAGGAGGGCAAATGTCAGTTTGGAGGGGTCAGCTCCATTTACAGCCCTATTTAAAACTGATTTCTCCAGAGCTGGCCGGGCCATGGGAATGTTACAGCCTGGAACTCTGCCCTGTTTGCAAGTGAGAGATTCAAGAGATCTTTCTTGTTCATCTTACAGGGTTTCACTGAAGGTGAAATGCCTGCACAGCACCAAGCATATTCTGGGAGCTACTGTTACAGGAATAAAAAAGTCAGAGTCCCAGGTAAGACAGGGCAGGGTGGGATTCTACTCCACACAGATGAGAATGCTGCTTTCACCAGCAGTGTTCCCAGGCCTCTCCCAAGTGCCTAGAGGAAAAGTTGGGAGGTCTCAGTGAAGTGTATTAGCAACGCAAAATAGCCTTGAGTATTGCAGAAGGGTTGAGGCCACCAGGCTCTGCTGCTGTTCCTTTCCCTTTAGACTCTGGACTGAAAAACCCCTTTCCCAATCCATTCTCTCCTCAGACATTCCTGCGAGCTTCACTCTGCTCCCTTTACTCCCTGTGAACACATTTTCGGTTCCCCCCTGCCCTGCATCCCGCCCCCAAACAGAGTGCTGAGCTTCATCATTACCCTTGATTCTGTCTGCTGGCAGAGAGCCCCTCCCAACTTGGAGTGTGAGGGAGTTTTAGTCAACAAAAGTTAAGGAGAACTACAGCACCATTCGCTGGGACCTGTGTCCCCTATGTTCTGAACCCAGCTATCACAGCTTGAACAAGGCAAGAGAGTACTTGGATAGTTTTATTCCAGGGGTTTTTTTTTTTTGGGGGGGGGGGGGAGAGGGGAGGGTTTGGCAGGGGGGAGAAGGGGAGGAAGAGAACTACTTTTGGTAGAACTGAACTGGGAATGTAAGAAATCATAACTTGTGCTCCTCTGTGCTCTCACACTCCAGCCAACAGGGGAAAGCGTCAGGTAGGGATTCAATATGACATGGAAGAACACATCAAATAAACAGGGCAAGACTATGACAGAAGCATCCTGCTGCTTGGTGTGAAGCTTGGAGAGGAGGCTCAAATAGTTTGCATTTAACTTGTGTAGAAGGTACAACCCAGCATGCTCAACAGGGTAGATGGGTGCTGTTGGGATAACTGGGCCTACAAAATTTACCTTAATTGTGAGTTCAACTGGAGGAAGCGAGTGTTGATGAGAAAAGATATGAAAGGCAGGGGAAAGGGGGGGCAGACTGAATTACTCTAAACGAAAAGGCCTAATGATGTAATTCAAAGACTGTATTAAGATCATGCCTGGTAAACAAGCACAGAATCAGAAAATCAATGAAACAAAATAGAGGTGTCAAAGACTAGGCCTAATCGGTGGAATAATTAGGGGATAGGCCCTTTGTGGGTCTTTAAAGAAAGATTTGGGGGAAGAAAAAAATTGGCTACTTGAGCAAGCTTCACCATCATGGTGCCACCCCCACTATCTCCTGGGACCCTGGGCCTTTGTCATCTCAATCCCGAGATGTTCTGACCAGACGAGGCCAGAGAGGAACCTAATTTAATACTATTTAATGCTGGACAGTGACTGGGTCATGTTAACCCCATCTAAATTAATGCAACAATACTTAAGTGCATAGAGGCCAAAACAGGTAGAACCTGTACATCAAAACTTGTACTCTCCCATCTGACTGATAGGGAGTCAAAACAGGTTGTGTGGTCCTGATGACCCACTGCATGCTGGAATGTTTAGTCTCTAGGTTACACCTTCAGATTAAAGAGGTAAAATAGCTACAGTCTGCTCCATTTTATATAAATACAAAGCAGCCCTCAGGATCCTGCTAAATCGTCAAGTCAGCCTTTAGATGGCCAGAATGTGGAAGCCCCTGAGTGTATGATGCATTTGGCTAATTAAGTGCTTCCTTGGCACTCCAAAAGATTGGAAGTAGGTTCAGATAAGTTTGTGGGGTTTTCCCCATTGGAGGAAGCCTGGTTTCTTCCCCTTATCTTACTGAATACTTAAGCATGTATTAATTATTGGCATTACAATAACTCCTGGAGGCCCCAACAAAGACTTGAGCCCAAGCATGGTAGTGCTCTACGTGTCCTTAGTAGAGACATCAGATGCAGTTTGCATTTCTTGTTTAAAAGGCTTATAGCTCTACTCTTTCCTCCTTCCCCTGTTTACATTACACCTGGATTTAGCCAACGCCATCAGTCCTGCACTGTCAGGAACATTAACGTTCCGTCTAAACCAGGTAGAAGATTAAAGCAGTGTAGCTTACTTAGGTACAGGCAGTTACAAGAGTTTGGGGATGCATGGTACCTGCATGTTGAATTCAAATGCCTTATTGGCTTCCTCCACAATCCTCTCCTTGGCTTTCTTGTCCAAGTCCAGGGCATTTATCCTGGCCCTGTAGAACTGTTTGAACTGCTGTGCATTGGAAATGTTGTCAAACACATAGAACTGGATCCCTTCCCCAGTACTGGGCAGCTTCAAGGCCCTCTGGGCTACCTTCTTGAGTACCTGGCCCCCAGACAGGTCCCCCATGTACCGTGTGTAGGCATGGGCTACCAGCAGCTCTGGCTCATACTGCCCAACATGATGGATTCTGTCTACATAACTCCTAGTTGCCTCTGAACACTGAATCTTCTCTTTCCAATTTTCCCCGTAGAAATACTCCATGTCTTTAGCCAATGCTTCTTTCCGATGAAGCTCTAGAGGGAAGTACAAAGGGGCAAATGCAGGGTGGTCCTTGTTGCAGTCCATTTCCTCTTCCAGGGCAGAGTATGTGTAGTAAAGTGCCACAGTAGCCAACTAGGAACAAAAGCACAATGTATGTGAGAGACCACTTGCTGGAAAGAATGATGTATTTAGACAGATTATGTACAGACCCATGCGTTCCTCCCAATAAACCACACTCCATACAGACCACACTTGCCCCACCATATTATCTATTAGGCTAGGAAGGAATCTTAAAAGGAAATGGTGAAGTCCCTTTGCTTGGGACACATCCAGACATGAGACTGTAGGGACAATCCTGCAGGAACTGACAGAACACAGATGAGATGTCCTGAGAAATCTTCTCTCCCTCAGATTTCTGTACTGGAGAACAGACTTCCCCTCAAGGCATTGGACTGGGAGCCCAGAGTTCTAGGTTCTACTGCCAGTTCTGCTATGGACTTGTCTAAGGTGATGCAGCAAGTCACTGAACCCCTATGCCTCAATACCTATCTGTAAAATGGGAACAACACATCCTACTTCAAAAGGGTGTAGAGAAGCTTAATTCATTACTGCTTTAAGCCCCTCTAAGGGAAGGCACTATTTGAATGTGCAGACTGTTATGATCAAAAGATGATGTTCATATGTCTATGCTGAATGCTCTGATCTGCCCAAAAGGGACTGGCAATTAAAACAATAGAGAAAACACCTTAGTATAAATAGCTAACATAATTCCCAATACTTTCTGAAAATTTCAACTGCACTGGCATTTATAGACCTGAGGCATGACGTTAAGGGGCTTCCAGAAGCAGTCATGACAATGGAGCGGTGGCTGAGCCAAACACAAGTGGAGTTACAACGCTCTGCACCAGGTCACAAACACCAAGAGCAGGGAGGCAGGCCCAGCCCCACAGGACATGAGCTGCTCCTGCTGGACACATGTGAGGTAAGCTCACTTTACAACCTCTCCCCAGGGCCTCCCTTCCACACCAAGCCTACCACCCATCTAGAACCTTCTTGCAACCCACTTGTCTGTGGGGACCCACTGTTTTGGAAACACTGCTTTAGCTCTCCATTAATTGGTTTTCCAGACCAGCCAGCACAAGGTGCTATGGAGCAACTTTTAGCAATTTGGGTTGGGAGTCAGCTTACTATGCCAATTCTGTAGCACTACAAGGTACTGCTAATTCTGGGAGTGAGACACCATGCTGGATTCCCTGACATGTTACACACAGTGTCACTTCTAGGCAAGTCAGGTTTCCAGCAGTTTAGTTTGATTTAGTTTGCCCATGACAAGTAAAAATCCACACCCAGAACATAAAAATAATATTACCTGGCTCTTATATAGCCCTTGTCATCAGTAGATTTCAAAGGGCTTCAGTCTGATGTAGGGAAGTATTATCCCCATTTTAGAGAATGGGAACTGAGGGAGAGAGGCTAAGCAAATTGCTCAAGTTCGCACAGGAAGTTTCTGAAAAAGCAGGGAACTGAACCCAAGTCTCCAGAGTCCCAGGTTAGTGCCCTAACCACTGGACCATCCTTCCTCTCATTGTAACAGTGTGTCATGTCTCTAATTTGGGATAGAGCTTTCAACTCTACAGCTCAAGAGCTCATCACACATGCTGTTAAGGAAGCAGAGTTAGAAAGTGCAAACCTTAAAGAGCTCCTTCTTGATCCGTCCTTTCAGGAAGTCTTTGACAAACTGAGTGTTCTCTGCACGATCGTGAGACTCTTTCGTCCCCTCCTTGAGCATCTCTGAGAGGTCAGTGGGACTGTGAAGAACAGAAATTCACAAAGGGCATGAGATGGAGAACATGCCCAAAGGATCCCAGGAAGATTCTGTAGGTCTTAAGAGCAACTTTTAAGTTACACAGGGCCAGGGCCAGGCCCATACTTTGGACCAAGGCAGCTATTTGTGCTTCAGGCCAGTCCTGCATTAGACCTGGTGGAAAATGAATTCCTATTTGCTGATGGCAAGCTCCAGGAAGATGCCACCTGTGTCTTTTTGTCAATTAGTGCTAACTGACATCCAGCTCAAGACAGTTATTCTCTGGCTCAAAATGTGGAGGGGAAATCCTGCTTCTCTGGCCACAGGGGACACAAAAAGTGCCGCTCCAAAAATCAGCCTGTTTTTTATTCCTTTGCACATCCCTAAGCTTCAGGGATACAGTTTACATGAAATATATTACATAAACCTGTGTTGTAAGGTCCCCCAAGTGAGGTTTTGGACACCACCATCATGGTCTCTTAAAATGTTGTCGTTTGGATAGGACTGTGCCATCACATCATCACACTGTCAGCATGGAAGTACAAACACCACCATACAAAACATGCTGAAGAACAATCACCACAGCATGACGACATTACACTTGTCCTCTTGACATTTGGGGTTGTTTTGAACATCCAGTCCCAATATGTTAGCCTCTGAAACAGGCAGTCTCATCAAACCCAGGACTGTCCCACAAAGTCATCATCAGTGATTACCCCAGATGCAACAGAAATCCAACTGACAATGCTCAGAGAATAAGATCAAGCACAAAGGTGACAGCAGCTCATAAGAGATGTTGAATATACTACTGAGCTATAGTAGTGTGAATCCACATTCCAGCACAGTCTGGATGTGCCTTGAGGTGTGACAGGTAGCAATACCGGCAGGAGAGAGAGGCTAACAGGTATGGTCCATTCACCACATTCAGACACCCAAATACCAAGTCATTAAAACTGACTTTTTTGCACAAATTCTCCTACCGTGAATTCTGAGAGTATAGTAGAACCCCAGAGTTACAAACTGACCAGTCAAACGCACACCTCATTTGGAACTGGAAGTATGCAATCAGGCAGCAGCAGAGAGGGGGAGGGGGAAAAAGAAAATACAGTACAGTACTGTGTTAAACATAAACCACTAAAAAAAAAAAAAAAGAGAAAAAAAAAAAAAAAAAAAAAGATTTGACCTGGTAAGGAAACTGTTTCTGAGCTGGTTTCATTTAAATTAAGATGGTTAAAAGCAGCATTTTTCTTCTGCATAGTAAAGTCTCAAAGCTGTATTAAGTCAATGTTCAGCTGTAAACTTTTGAAAGAACCACAATGTTTTGATCAGAGTTACCAACAGTTCAGAGTTACAAACAATCTCCATTTCCAAGGTGTTCGTAACTGAGCTTCTAATGTAATCTCAGAATAGTAACCAAGCCCTTCACCACATGGCTGGTGATCTCCCTGTGATCACTGTATTAGCTGTGCACCTTTGACAGCCTCAACTGCACTCTGCCCATTAACCCAATCTCACTCATGTCTATTAACATTCCAAACTTCCGAGCTGCTTCAGTTAAAAAACAACCTGACCTCAATGTTTTCCCTACTCCCAGTTGTGGAATTGTCCCATAGTCAGTCCTGAACTAGTGCCAACTCGAAGATTGCTCAGCTTGTGACACATCACAGGTAGGAAACAGTAACTCTTCCTTCCCAATGACACAGGACTTTCTTGTTTCTGGTACTAGTGCCTTAAGATGGCAGATTTTAATAATTTACTACAACAGATAGCCTTAGTTCCTGTCTTCCGACAATGGCCAATGCCAGATACTTCAGAGGGAATGAACAGAACAGGTAATCAAGTGATCCATCCCGTCACCCATTCCCAGCTTCTGGCAAACAGAGGCTAGGGACACCATCCCTGCCCATCCTGGCTAATAGCCATTGATGGACCGATCCTCCATGTCTAGTTGGCAGCCGGTGTCAAGTGGAGTACCCCAGGGGTCGGTCCTGGGGCCGGTTTTGTTCAATATCTTCATAAATGATCTGGAGGATGGTGTGGATTGCACTCTCAGCAAATTTGCGGATGATACTAAACTGGGAGGAGTGGTAGATACGCTGGAGGGCAGGGATAGGATACAGAGGGACCTAGACAAATTGGAGGATTGGGCCAAAAGAAATCTGATGAGGTTCAATAAGGATAAGTGCAGGGTCCTGCACTTAGGACGGAAGAACCCAATGCACAGCTACAGACTAGGGACCGAATGGCTAGGCAGCAGTTCTGCGGAAAAGGACCTAGGGGTGACAGTGGACGAGAAGCTCGATATGAGTCAGCAGTGTGCCCTTGTTGCCAAGAAGGCCAATGGCATTTTGGGATGTATAAGTAGGGGCATAGCGAGCAGATCGAGGGACGTGATCGTCCCCCTCTATTCGACATTGGTGAGGCCTCATCTAGAGTACTGTGTCCAGTTTTGGGCCCCACACTACAAGAAGGATGTGGATAAATTGGAGAGAGTCCAGCGAAGGGTAACAAAAATGATTAGGTGGAACACATGACTTATGAGGAGAGGCTGAGGGAACTGGGATTATTTAGTCTGTGGAAGAGAAGAATGAGGGGGGATTTGATAGCTGCTTTCAACTACCTGAAAGGGGGTTCCAAAAAGGATGGTTCTAGACTATTCTCAGTGGTGGAAGAGGACAGGACAAGGAGTAATGGTCTCAAGTTGCAGTGGGGGAGGTTTAGGTTGGATATTTAGAAAAACTTTTTCACTAGGAGGGTGGTGAAACACTGGAATGCGTTGCCTAGGGAGGTGGTGGAATCTCCTTCCTTAGAAGTTTTTAAGGTCAGGCTTGACAAAGCCCTGGCTGGGATGAATTGGGGATGGGTCCTGCTTTTGAGCAGGGGGTTGGACTAGATGACCTCCTGAGGTCCCTTCCAACCCTGATATTATATGATTCTATGATTCCACAGGTTGACTGTGCATTGTATGAAAAAATAATAGACAACAGGTCTAAAACACAAGGAAGTAATTTCATTTAGTGACCCCTAATTCTTATGTTATGAGGAGGAGTAAATAACACTTCCTTATTTACTTTCTCCACACCAGTCATAATTTTATAGACCTCTATCATATCCCCCCTTAGTCATCTCTTTTCCAAGCTGAAAAGTCCCAGGCTTATTAATCTTTCCTCACACAGAAGCTGCTCCAACGTCCTAATCATTTTTGTTGCCCTTTTCTGTATCTTTTCCAATTCCAGTATATCTTTTTGAGATGGGGCAACCACATTTGCACACAGTATTCAAACTGTGGGCATACCATGGATTTATACAGAGGCAATAGGATATTTTCTGTCTTCTTTTCTATCCCCGTATTAATGATTCCCAACGTTCGGTTCGCTTTAACTGCTGCTGCACACTGAGTGGATGTTTTCAGAGAACCATCCACAATGACGCCAAGATCTCTTTTTTGAGCGGTAACAGCTAATTTAGACCCCACCATTTTATAAGTAGAGTTGGGATTATGTTTGCTAACATGCATTATTTTGCATTTATTAACATTGAATTTCATCTGCCTTTTTGTTGCCCCATCATCCAGTTTTGAGAGATCCTTTTGTAGCTCTTTGCAGTCTCAGACTTAACTATCTTGAGTAGTTTTGTATCGTCTGCAAATTTTGCCATCTCACTTTTTCCAGATCATTTATGAATATGTTGAATAGGCCTCGTCCCAGTACAGACCCCTGGGGGACACCATCATTTACCTCTCTCCATTCTGAAAACTGAACATTTATTCCTACCCTTTGTTTCCTATCTTTTAACCAGTTACCATCCCATGACAGCTTACTTTGCTTAAGAGCTTTGGTGAGGGGCCTTGTCAAAGGCTTTCTGAAAACAAATGAATTAGCAGGATAAACTGAAATTAAGAAAATATTCTTTGCATCTGCAGAATAGCCTACTGCCATCAAAAGCTCATTTAGAGAGACAAGGTGGGTGAGGTAGTATCTTTTATTGGACCAACTTCTGTTGATGAAAGTAAACAGAGCTCTGCCAGCTTGAGAGCTTCTCTCTTTCACCAACAGAAGCTGGTCCAATAAAAGTTATTACCTCATCCATCTTGTGTCTCTAATATCCTGGGATCAACATGGCTACAACCACACTGCAGAAACCTGGTTCCAGATGCTTAGCCAGTGACTTCCACCAGTTCTTTAGCTTGACTTTCTTTAAAAGCTCAGCAGCAAACATATACTGCTTGAATATTGTTTTTATATTTATTAAAATAATTTAAATTAGACTATAGTCTATTTAAGCCTTAACACTGGTTGCCAATGTTAAATGGGTTTACTTTTCAAATGAAAACTGAATTTAAATTAAGACAACAAAATCTGATTTTTAAAGTCAGTTTTGATCCACTCTAATAAACTGCTCTATAGGAGATGATAAAACACTCTCACCCTTCAATCCAGCAATGATTCCAGCCTCATCACCACATTCACTTCCTTCTAGGTCTTCCATGCTTCCAATGCATGGACCAGCCTCCTGATCCCAGTGTGCCATGCCATGCCCTCAGCCTCTCATTCAAATCCCACTTTAAGGTCCATCATCTCCATGTAGCCCCACAAATATTACTCAAATGCACTCTCCACCCCAACCTTCAGTACAGGAGAGACCGTGAAAGGCTCTTTCTGGGTTTCCTAGTGCATCTGATTTTATCTACATCTTTTAGATTAAACTCTCTGGGGCAGGGACTGTGGGTATTGTAGCTACTGAGAACACTCTTGGTGCATAACAAAAAGAGTCAATATACTCCTGGTTATAGACGTGCGCTGCATTTTCATCTCACTAGAGGGTTTTTGATTTTTAGTAAAGTGAATAGATGCACTTTATCAAGTCACAGCATCTCCCGGTGGATCCTTAATGAAAGGGTTCAGCTTTGCAGCTGCTTCACCCCAGAAATGCACAAGACAAGACTTTTGAACCGTCCAGTGATTCAGGAGGGATAGATTATTGCACTCCAAAATATACAAGAAAGGGAAAATCTCAATCAGAATATAAGGAATTATTTCTTGGCAGAAAGCAATTAGGTTGTGGAAGAAACCCTATTAACTCTGGTCATTTGAAACTGGATGGGATAACACTGTAGGAAATAAATTTGCTGGCCCCAGGGAGATGAGCTGGATTAACTAGTCACATCCCAATACATCCTCATCACTAGTCTTTCACTTCAGCCATTTACAGATATCCTTCTCTCCTGAATGGGGGTGGAATATATATGAAAAAAAGTGTTCCCACATTACTGAAAGCGGGGGTGGGGGGAAGAGAAAAAGAGAGGGGACAGCAAACACCACATTCCTGCCTGCAACCCACATGCAGAGATACCCCTCTAGGAGACAAGTTGTTCTAACCAAGTAAAGCCCCACACTCACTAGCCAGGAGGGCCTGACAGGACTCACCTGACATTGTCGTCCTCTTCTGTTTCCTCATAGCGGACATTCTCTGCCTCATCTACCCCCTCAGAGGTTTCTGTTACATCAGACGGCATCTCTCCACAGACCTGATCTTCCTAATGTTCTCTTCACTTTTCAGTCCTGTTTGGAAACAGCCAGAGTTCATCATCCAGTTATTTCAGCAACACTTTAAGTGACTGAAGAGCAAAAACTTGACTTTAATAAAGCAGAAGATTCCTGAATGAGGAGTGGGGGGAAGCACCAAAAGCTGCAACTCCTTGAGCTAAGAAAGCCTTAACTCACTCAAACACATGCATTGTCAGTCGACAGAGCTGTGCACTTGACGTCCTCCCTTGGTGGGCTCAAGGATATAGGGCATAATACAAGCTTACCTGTTTATGGTCCAACACTGCCTTAGAAAACAAAGAACCTTGTGTCCCCTCTTGCAGCTCTAAGCAAAGGCACTGATAGCCTCAGCTCAGAGTTACATACAGTGCATAACAAAGCAGCTCACATACTAATAAACCGTAACCTTGTGCAAGAAAGACACCTGTAACTCAGCAAGCAATCCAAGTTAGGCTTCCCACTCGGGTTTGGTGAATCAACTGAACAGACTAGAAGACCTGTATTTCACCAGCCTGCATGATGATACTTCTGAGCAAAACAACTCTCTTCCACCAGGACTGCAAAAATATCCCTAGACCATCTGCAGAAAAGCAAGATTTAGAGCAGAGTGACTGACCTGGGGAAGGAAGGGAAACAACCCTCCCCCCTAGATCTTTTTCATCTTTAGTTTCTGGGATTTGAGCTGCAACTGACTCGCTTACATTAGCAACGTGCAGCCTCTCCTCTCTCCTATTAGCACTGCAGTAAGTTACACCAGCTAAGCAACAAAGGCAGACAGCTTGGCAGGGAATTAACAAAGCCTCTCTCTCTGCAACGTAGCACATCTGGAAGGGAAGAGAAATGGGTCATGGGATTGCAAAACAATGCTAGCAAAACAGGCCTCCAGATTGCACAGTTCTTTTCAAAAAGGCAAGGCAGAGTTCACTAGCCTGGCTTTCCGGGACAGGCTCCACACCTGTCCAAAGAGTTTGACAAAGCAAAACTTCTGTGTGGCTGAAGCATTTTTCTTTTGTTCCCCTTACATTACTCTGTTCCAGCATGGACTCTCCCAAATAATAGATCCCAATTATTCAAGAGGCTTTAAAAAGGACTATTTGAAAAAGCTTGAGATAATATTGAATCTGTTGCACTGCACACTACTTTAAAGACTAGGAGCCAAACATCTGGCTTTTATTACCAACTCTGACTCACTGACACTTTAGGTAAACTACTCTGCCTCTGTTTCCCTCTCCCTACCCCCCACTCCGAATCTGTAAAATGGGAAATAAGACAATTAGCTGATAGACTCTAATCACCACTAAGTTAAGAGTAGAAGATGGCAGAGCTGACAGATAATGCCAGAAGGCAGCTGGGCACAGACCAAGCCCACTGCTTATTATTTAGAAAGCATGTGTGCTAAACGCTGTCTGACCAAACACATTTCATCCTCTTATACAGTGTCTCCCAATCACCTCACTATGAGCCAGATATGTACATCACCACTCACCTTAAGAAAGCTTGTTTTAGTCCTACATGTCTATGTTTGGAGGCTGGGAAAACAGTAAATGAGATAAGACTGTTTAGAACAGGCCAAGCTAGTTAATGTGAAGCCAGAATTGGCAGCTCAGTCCCCAGCTCCCAGTCTGAAGAACAAACACACAAAAAGGATGCATCAATTATAAATTAACTGCCCTTCCAGTTAATGACCTCTGGTTTCCTAACCCTCTCCTTCTGCCTTCCAGTAACTGCCCTACCTTCCCCACCACTTTCTCTAAGTTTTACTAAAAAATTTTCAAACAAAAGGTTCCAGCTGGAATGTCCTGAAGACTGAAGCCTTCAGTGATACACAAACAGCACAAACAATAGCCAGATAAGCCAGCCCTGCACAATGTGCCTTGCTCAAACCTGAAGGCACTATCACTCACAGGGTATGTCTACCCTGCAATTAAAAACCCATGGCTGGCCTGTGCCAGCTGACTCGGGCTCAAAGGGCTTGCACTAAGGGGCTGTTTAAACTGCAGTATAGGTGTTTGGGCTCCAGGACCCTGTGAGATGGGAAGGTCTAGCCCACGCCCCAAGAGGCCAAGTCAGCTGGCGCAGGCCAACTGCAGGTGTCTAATCACAGTGTAGACATACCTACAGTGACCACAGTTAATCTTTGGCTTCTACTAAGAATACCAACTGCCCCAAATTGTGATAGCCATTATGCTGAAGACACTTGCCTACTGGGAACTGGCCTAAGACCCAGCATCTCATTTCATACAAGTTACCAACACTCTTTGTATGGTAAGTTTGTCAATGTAAAACTGAGCCAGATTCAAATTTCTGACTTAGAGGTCACAGCCTTGTAACTCTATTATCAATCCCCCCACAAGCCAGGCAGTGCCCACAATCTTCACTCCTCCTGGAAAACCAGTCAAAGCCTACTTTACGTGTTTTCTGTTGGACACGGTAAGCCTGTCAGAGTTACAAAGCTTTCCAAGCTTTGTCTCTGCAACCATGTCCTATTTTCCTCATTCCCTTTCTTTGATTACCGCCCCAGTTCCAACAGCAAATATGCATGCTCTAACAGCTACCTGTTAAACGAACAGTACGTGTTCTCCAAGTGCTACACAGATACTCAGTTTTGCTTAATGCCCCTCTGAGATGGTATTAATCTCATTTTACAAGGAGGAACTGAGGCAGAGAGGTTAAGCGACTTGCCCAAGCTCACACAAGGAAGTCTGGCCAAGATGGGGATGGAAATAGAATGTCTCCTGCTGTATAGAATGTCTCCTGCATGCATAGAAACAGCAGTAGGTCAATCTTGTCTGCACACCACTTCCTTACAGCTGAGCTCTCAGTGAACATTTGATTTAGTCCCTGCTCCAATATTTCAAAATTCAGGTTTTAAAGTCATAAATTTGCATCCAAGCCCAATCATTCTGAAAGTTCAGTCTTATGTTCCCCAGAAAATAAACCAAACTTTTGGAGAAATGGTATTCAGATCTAGAACCACTACTGATATGGAAGCAGAGCATCTCTGGTACTGCAGCAAGTTACACCAGTTAAGCCATTTCAGCAGGAAGCTTGGCAGGGTAAAGCTTTTCCCCATGCAATGCAGCACATCTGGGAGGGAAGAGATTGCACAGTACTCTTCAAAAAGGCAGAGGCAGTGTTCAGAGAGCAGAGAGCTGCTCTGAGACCACTTCCACTCACTCAATGATACAACAGAGGTTAAAAACAAAAAAACAAACACCGCCCTCCCCAGCAAAATCCTTCCTGTAAAGGGAAGCAAACTGAACAAGAATAGATTAAAAAAAAAAAAAAAGACAGGCAAGAGGAACTGCATGAGATAAGCCACAGTAACATGGTTTGATAAAGGTTCTTAGCAACCAGGTTTTATATAACACTGACTCTTTGGTAGGATTATTTGTTTACAAAATAGACCCAAGTGGCCTTTGGACTCCTCTCCCACAGATTTTTTAAGACCAGCATTTTCCTTGAATTTCCAAATTCATAATATAGTTTATAAAGTTTCAGTAGCAGCAAGTACTTGAAAGCAACGGTCTCCTCTCCACACACGTATCAGATTTTCTTTAATTAACACAAGCACTTTCCTACAGCTTTTGTGCCAGAGAGAGAAAAATGGTACAGCATAACACTGCTAGTTATGAAGCATATGGCATGTGCAGGAGATACTGTTTTAGAGGCAAACAGACCTTGAAAGATTGATAAGTCCCAAAAAAGCACCTTCGTTTTACATTTTCTTGTAACTGATTACAACAGAGTTCTTCTAGCTCCATTTTCATGTAATTTATCCTTTAAAAAGGGCACCAGTTCCCGTAGACCTACATACAGTGTAGGGCCATATGCTGGAGAAAACCTCTTTTAAAACACTAAGCTTCTAAAGGGTAAACTGATAATTTTAAAAGACTGAAAATACCTCCACAGTGTTTGTGGAAGTTCCGGGCCAGCAAAGTCTAGGAGGCCAACCCTCTCCAAGATTTGAATTCATTCATGGGGCATGGGAACTTGAAAATAAGGAGTCATACTAACTTGGCATATTTACCTTCATACCATCTGTTCTAGACTCTGGCTGTTGAGTGAAAGGAACAGACTAGAGTCCCCTTCCCTAGAGCAGTGGTTTTCAAACTTCTTCCCTGGCTACCCAGTTGGAGAAAATTGTTGATGCCTGTGACCCAACAGAGCTGGGGATGAGAGGTTTGGGATGTGGAAGGGACTCAGGGCTGGGGGTGTAGGCTCTGGGGTTGGGCTGGAGATGACGGGTTTGGGGTGCAGGAAGCGGCTCCAGGTTTGTGGGGGTGGGGCTCAGTGCGAGAGCAGGGTATTGGGGTGTGGGCTTACCTCGGATGGCTCCTGGTCACTGGGGTGCTAAGGCAGATGCCTGTCCTGGCACTGCGGACCATGCTGCACCCTGGAAGCAGCCAGCAGCAGGTCGGGCTCCAAGGCGGAGGCACACAAGCAGCTCCGCACAGCTCTTGCCCACAGGCACCACCCCGCCTCCCCCAGGCTCCCATTGGCCAGTTCCGAGCCAATGGGAATACGGAGCCGGTGCTCGGGATGGGGGCAGCGTGCAGAGCCCCGTGGCCCCCCCCACCTAGGAGCTGTACCTGCTGCTGACCACTTCTGGGGCACAGCGCAGCGTCAGAACAGGTAGGAGCTAGCCTGCCTTAGGTGGGCAGCACCACCACCGGCACTTCTAACGGCCCGGTCGGCAGTGCTGACTAGAGCCGCCACAACCCACTGCCTTCCATTCCACAACCTAGTACTGGGTCGTGACCCGCAGTTTGAAAACCATTGCCCTACAGTCACGGTATTAGTAGGCTCTCGGAACAGCTCTGCCTGTCTTTAAGAGATATGCCTCCTAGATAAGCAAAGGTAAGTTATTTAGCTGCCAGCCTGCAGCTCCTGATGAGCTGAATGGAGTTTCACTCTCTCCCACTTACTACTTCAGGTACTCTATACTGAAAACGCGACAACGGCACAGCTGAAGTGCTGCAATGCTTCAATGTAGTCAATACCCACACTGATGG